GCTCATTGTTATTAAATGTACTCTGGCAGTTCTGTTGTAGCACCATTTGAAACGTGTTTGTTTAGCTTAGCCGGTTAAGTGATTGCTAACCCCGTGCCGGGCCGAGTTTTTCTTGTGTTTTCAGCAAGGCTACGGATTCTCGGCAGTCGGTAAGCGAAGTTTCTATCTGGACTGAGTTTGACGAACGGTTGCTTAGGATCCTCGTATCTAGCTTTATACCAAAACGAATTCGCACAGTGTACTGACATTCCACACTAGACATATTAAGTCTGTGTCTGCTGGACAGTTGCCTCGCTACGCGAAATTAATGGGCTAGTCTGAAATATTCGAGCAGATTACCTCTGGAAACAAGAAGAATTGAGTGGGCTCATTTAAACTTGATGGATGAAAAAAAAACCGACTATATCTCTCTAGTAACTTAGAATAGGCTGATATTTGTCAATTTCAAGTTTACACGAATCTTATTTAATCAAAATTTCAGAAATGCGTCAGTTGCTGCACTTGGTCGACGACGAATTTACTTTTAATCTCCGAGATACTTTAAGCCTTCTGTACATATTAATAGAAAACCTAGATGCATTCCCTCTTTTATGACGTTTAAATGTCCAGGGTAAGAATATGATCCCGATAGTCTAAAGTGTTTTTAAGCCAGCCTCCCTATGATATCTCACACTTTCTGGCGACAGATTCAAAAATCGCGCAATTCTAGTTCAATCTCGGACGTGTGGGTTTCTAGAAATTCCATTATCTTGTACGTTATCCCCCGGGCGTTATCCGCTGCTTGTGTGGCGAGTTTAAGATGTACTTCTTTCAGAGTGCAGTATTCAAGGGAAATGATTCACTCAGAATCAATTTATTCACCTTAAGAACTCAACACCACACAGTGGTAAAATTCGTGTTCTATTGGTTATCTGTTAACACGGAGACGACTTCCGAGTTTAAAATAAAAATCCTGANAAGGGTTTTGGTGGAAAACATTTACATCAATCATATTAAGTCTGTGTCTGCTGGACAGTTGCCTCGCTACGCGAAATTAATGGGCTAGTCTGAAATATTCGAGCAGATTACCTCTGGAAAGAAGAAAAATTGAGTGGGCTCATTTAAACTTGATGGAAAAAAAAAAACGACTATATCTCTCTAGTAAGTTAGAATAGGCTGGTATTTCTCAATTTCAAGTTTACACGAATCTTATTTAATCAAAATTTCAGAAATGCATCAATTGCTGCACTGGGTCGACGACGAACTTACTTTTAATCTCCGAGATACTTTAAGCCTTCTGTACATATTAATAGAAAACCTGGATGCATTCCCTCTTTTATGACGTTTAAACGTTCAGGGTAAGAATATTATCCCGGTAGTCTAATGTGTTTTTAAGCCGGCCTCCCTTTGATATCTAACACTTTCTGGCGACAGATTCAAAAACCGCGCAATTCTAGTTCAATCTCGGAAGTGTGGGTTTCTAGAAATTCCATTACCTTGTACGTTATCCCCCGGGCGTTATCCGCTGCTTGTGCGGCGAGTTTAAGATGTACTTCTTTCAGAGTGCAGTATTCAAGAGAAATAATTCCCTCAGAATCAATTTATTCACCTAAAGAACTCAACAGCACACAGTTGTAAAATTCGTGTTCTACTAGTTAGCTATTAACACGGAGACGACTTCCGAGTTTAAAATAAAAATCCTGATCGGAAAGCATAATATTGTTACCAAGTC